CGCTCATTTCTTCAAAGCGCACCTACATATCATATCATCATAGATCGTTATCGTTATCGTCATCATTATCATTGGCTTTAACATCGTCAACAATATTGTTATTATTATTAGCATTAGTTGTATTAAAAATAATCAACCACCAAGTTCATTAGACATCACATCGCTCTCACAACTCATTAGTCATTATCTCTCTCATTAGAGCACACTTGCATATGTACTATATAGTAGCTACACATCAATCATCATGATAATTTTTCATTGCCGACATCATCACTCATTGACATTATTATCATCGTTATAAAATACAAAATTTGTTGTTGGGCGTTGCCCAGAATACTTGTATATGTTGGTTATATATTTCATAAATTTCAAATTTCAAGGGCCCGGCGGAATGCCCTGGTGTCTATATGTCTATATATGTATGTGTGTGTGGTCGATTAAAGCAATTTTCCACATCATCGAATTGTGCTCAATGAGCAGGACGTGCGTCAATAAGGCAGCGCCCGCAGGATACGCAATCTGAGCGTAGTTTTCTTTTTTGCTTCTTTCTCTTTCTCTGTTTCCTCTTCGTCATCTTCTGTTTCTTCTATTTTGTGAGTGGTTTTTTGCGTTCGCATGAAATTTGCATAATTAACCTGGCCAAAAAGCCAAATGTCGATTGCAAAGCAATTAAATAGCGTTTATTCAACCGGTGCGAGTCGGTCGACTCGAGTCGAGCTAAGCGCCGGCTGCCAATGAGATAATGATTTAATTGTTGATAATTAATGAACCGCGATTTACACTAGCCATCATTACGGCCACGGCTGCTGCTGGAGCGTTCCGGCTGGAGCGTTACGTATACGCCGCATCGACTGCGATAGGACAATGGGTGAAGGGCGCAGGAAATGCCTTCGCACATGGAAAACAAAGCCAAACCAAGCTGCTATGCGATTGGGTTACCATAAATCATAACAGAGAATAGGCAGCAGCAGAGTGAGAGTGTGGGAGTGTGCGAGTGGCAGAGAGAGTGAGCGGGAGGGAGACAGAGACAGGCTCGGAATCGAATGGCAGAAATACATGAATTCGTTTGGCTTTTAATGCCGGCGGCTAAAGTAAATGAAGAGGCGCTGATACCAAGTCATACACCCACTCACACACACACACCCACACACACACGCGCTCACACACACAGATAGAGAGAGTGTGAGAGGGAGAGAGAGAGAGAGATGGGCTCAAGTTAAGTGTTGAGCGTGGAAACGCATAATGCGCAGATCAAACACATTTCACTGGCTGCAGGCGTCGACAGCGAAAGCGATAAACAAGTCAACAGCGACTGGCTAGGGAGATACCCTGTATAAATAGATTCGGCTTTAGTAAATACAATTTTGACTAAATCTCTCCTCAAAGATGCAAAGTGATTGATGGTTACTGATTCCTGTGTGAAGCTCTCATAGTCCCCATATAAATTACAATAGTTCCAGAAGTTATCGATGCTATCTATGGAGCTTTACTGGGTATATTGAACAACAATTAAAGTGTAAAGTGAAAATCTTCTAGTATTGCCAAACCACAGCTCTCAATGTGTTTCACGTAATATGCCCCAGCTCAAAACGGAACTGTTTCCAGGGTATAAATGGATGTACTTAAGTAGAGGCAAAAGCAAACTTAAAAGCAAGTCGCTGAGCATTGGCTCAGTCTATTAAGTGCAAGAGAGAGATTCATTTCGATAAGTTCACGTATTCACGTATATTAAACACGTGTCAATCTCTATCAAATCGTGTTATACGCTATTGCAGAGAACTAGTTCCATGTCACATCCGAAGTGGAAGCGATATAGAGGCAGCAGATGATGGATGTGAGAGTTGTCAGATGTATTGAATCACGATTCACTGTGCAACTTATTCAATTGAACTAGGAGGTGAAATGAACGAATGAGCTAGATCAATGCCAGCTCAAGAGTGGAGCTTTGTGAACTCTATAACCAGTTGGTTCATAAACTTAGTTTGGTTCAGCTACATATATGCATAAGTTATTATGACAAAGAACTAGTTTATTTCCATTCGACACAGTTCCGACCTTATGCAATTCAACTAGTCAGTGAAATGAACAACTGAGCTGGTTCAGTTCAGTGATTTCCTTGGCTCACACAGATTTTCGCATGGTATGCGTGTCTTTAAGCTATTCAGCTGTTGCTTCATGAATGCCTGAGTGAGTTGAGATAGTGAACTAGTTCATTAAATTCAAACACTTTTCGCAGTTCCAGTTTCAGTTTTTCACCCAGCATCAATTGTTTCGACTTTCCCGCAGAACATGAAATGCTGCATACCCTTAGGCGCGCAAAGCATATGTCATCTGTGTGTGTGTGTGTGTGTGTGTGCGTGCGTGTGTGTGTTTGCGTGAGTTTGCTTGACTTCACAGGCTGGCACTTGCGGGAATCGACAACAAAGCATCAGGCAGGCAGGCAAGCAGCTTGCGTGTGACAACTACATTGACAGGACACCGATTTCAATAAGAAACGGCATGGACAAAGAGAGCGGGCGACGCGGAGGAAGATAGTGAGGGTGGGAGTGGGCGAAGGGGGAGAAGGCGAGAATGTGGTTGCGTGGAATGCTAAGCTCGCTAACAACTCAAACAACACAGCACACGACAACAATGAAAAACTGAGATATAAAATGAACGGAAATGGTGAACGTGCGAATACCCTTCATATGGAAAGCAGGAGAAGGGGAAGATTCGAGAATGGGGGGAAGAGAAGAGTAAGAGATGGGAATTGTAGAATGAAAGGACGATGGAGAAGAAAGATGAGAGAAAGTGCAGACGAAGCCAGAGAGAAAGAAAGCGGAAAGCGGAAAGAAGAAAGTATAGGGGGCAGAGGGCTCTGAGAGCAGAGGGTAGAGCGGAAGAAAGAAAAGGCAGGAATGAAAAGAGAGCAAAGAGATGGGAGAAAAGGGCTGACATAAGAGAGAGGAGAAGAAGGAGGGAAGCGAAGAAGGAGTGGGGCAGTAAGAGAAAATATATCAATATAGTGCCTGACTAGTCTATAATACCCTGCTATAGGGTATTCGAGTAAATAAACAAGCGGCGAGGCAAATGGCAAACTGACAGCTGAAAGCGTCGACCAGACAGGTACCATTTGTGTGTGTGTGTGTGTATAAGGACCTTACCCAGCTCGAATGTCCCTGTGCGAGTCCATGCCGAAGTCCTTCTGCTTGACTAATGTTTGCTCAGCACGCAGTTGTCGGCTTTTTGGCTTTGCCGATATGCGCCAGCCTCTACTTTCACTTTGAGTGTTTAGCTTGATGCGGAGTTAAACTGAACACACACCCACACCAACACACACCCACACACACACACACACATACACATACAGCACAATTTGTGCTGTTCGATTTGTCGAGTTACTCGTCTTTGCATCTTCAATTTGCAATTTGAATTTGTGTTTATTTAGCTACATCTACTTTTCATACTGGTTCATGGGGCGCAAAAGAGGGCATATTAGTTGAGCAAGGGAGCATTAAGGGATGCAGGGTGGAAGATGATGATGGATGATTTGAAGATCAATGATGGACGATGCTAAATAAGTAATGTAAAATAGAACATGGAATATATGTAGCCAGATATATCATACAATAGATAAACCATGGAATGCACACCTTTGCACTTGAATATGGACGGGCATTGGGCAGTCGGCTATGCTCGAGAGCAGGAGTCCAATTTGACATCTGGCAACACTTAAGTGGAAACTCCATTGCACTTCCTTTAAGTAGACTGCGCTTGCACTCGGGAAATTTGGAATAACAAGCCAGTGCTGTATAACGCTGGGCACAAGCTCAGTTGAATTGCCTTGATTCGCTCGCAGTGCACAGTGAATGAACTGGAATACACTACATTCACCCCGTATTTATGGCACTTGTTAAGTTGGCTGCACTTCAGCAGATTCAACAATTAAAATAAACAGCTTAGGAAGTCTTTCACTTCATTCAATTCAATGGGCAGCCCAGTTATGCAATTTATCAAACTTATTGAGAGAGAGAGACAGAGAGGGTGGGCAAGGAGGGAGGAGGAAGGGGGAGGCAATAGCGTGTGCTAATGATAACTAGCTGTTAATTTATCTTGCTGTTAGCCATAACGAAAAACCTTTTGCTCCTCATTTTTTATGAAATGCCATTTGTCCGAAATACAGAGCGAGGGAGAAAGAGAAAGTGAGCGTGAGAGTGAGAGTGAGAGAGAGAGTGGGACTATATGAAATGTTTGTTCGCCTTTGTTTGGGATATCTTTCTCACTTTGGCTCTGTCGTTTATATTTTTTCAGCTTCATCTTTTTGCTTGTTATTTACTTGTTCGTTTATTGTCCTTTTATCCCTGCTCGTCATTTCTCGTCTGATTTAATCATAATTCTGTCAGTGACCCAACTCCTCGCTCACTACCGGCCACCCCCAGCCATCACCTTCCCATCTATCTGCCATGGCACAGGATATCCGAATTGAAATCTAATTTCGAAAACGAGTTAACATTGCATCACACGAGTTCCTGTTCTCATAATATTATTGCCTATCATACTCTGCAGGGAATGGAGAAATCGTGTGTATTTATGGTTCGTATAATTTCTCCCTCTCTAACTCGATTTATATTCTATCTGTGTCTGTATCTGTATCTGTATCTGTATCTGTATCTGTATCTGTATCTGTATCTGTATCTGTATCTGTATCTGTATCTGTATCTGTATCTGTATCTGTATCTGTGTCTGTATCTGTATCTGTATCTGTATCTGTATCTGTATCTGTATCTGTATCTGTATCTGTATCTGTATCTGTATCTGTATCTGTATCTGTATCTGTTTCTGTATCTGTATCTGTATCTGGCACAGAGTATCGTGCATTACACATTACATAATATTTTTTTTTTGCTCACTTCGATTGAAAAGCGATGGCTGGGGAATGGAGCTGGGGGAGATTGGCCACAATGGTGACTGTAAACAACATTTTGTTCGGCATCATCGAGTCCAAATTAGGCAAAAGCCACTTCGTATCGCAAAATTTATTAACTAGTTAAAAAAAAAGAAGAAGAAAAAAATGTACTATGGCAATGATATCATAGCAAACGCCAACGCAAAAGCAATGACTGGTCGAGCTGACTGGTTGGCTGTCTGGCTGGCTGTTCTGCTGTGCGTTGCCTTCTAGACAGCCTTGACTTTGGCCTTCTCCTGTTGCTTGGATTTGACTGCAAGTGGGAATTGGGATTAGTGGATGCTCAAGAGGCAGCCCTAGGCAGCTTGGAGTAAATCTGCCTTCAACTCACGTGTAATCAGAGCATCTGCATCGCTGGGCGCAGGCGGCAGCTCGGAGACTTCGCTCAGAGCGCGAAGTGCTGTCGAATTGCCACTGGCTTGAGCCGCTGCCTTTTGCTGCACTTGCTTACGCAGCTTGCGTAGGTAGGCGGCCTTGTATTCGTCACTCGGCTTGCCGCCCAGGCCATAGCTGACTTCCAGCACGGTCAACGGTATGACAGTTGAGGAAATGGCAACCAGATCTGTGTTGTAATTACCAAATGTAAGTTAAAAATTCTTAAATAATTTCAGCCATTTTTACCCGGTTCGTATTTCTCATCTGGATTGCGTTTGTATAGCATAGGCGAGGAAGCGGCGAATGCCAATAGCAATATATATATTACCACGAGTTCCAATTTCATTTTGGACGTCTGCAGCGCTCAGCAGTTGTTGCTAAACTAAACGCGGCTGCGTAAATCGCTTAACAAATCTGTTTAAAAGCTTCAATAAACTTGTATCGTTAAATGGCGCCTTATTTTAAGGAAACCTTCAAAATAGTGGTTTGTTTTGTAGCACACAGCTTTCTGTCAGTCTGGGTGTACGTAATTCTATCGATATAAAAATAAATAAGCAAAAGTTTCCAAAAATATGTATGCATTCATGTTTTTTATTACATATTCAGTTATTTTCTTTTTGTAGGTAAATATTTTTTATCATAGGAAAATACGTGCATTTCTAGTCATTTAATTCCCGTACTGGTTTCGCAGCATTCAGCTTTTGTATCTCCGACTTACAAGTGAGCCGCATGAAATCCGTTGCTGAACACTCATCGCACAGTTGCACAGTATATGTACGAGTATGTATATATCGATAGGCTATCGTCATAGCCGCCACAATCAATCGGTAGTTCGCAGTGTTTTGTTTTTTAATGCTCATTGAAAAGTAATTTGCCATCATCCAAAGCAAATGGAACGGTGACATAAATGAGTTTCACAAACCAAAACGTGGCTATATAGACGAAAACGCGGCGCGTAGCAGAAAACAGTAGAATAGTGTAGCGAAAATAAGGCGACAAAATTCAACAGTCAAACAAAGACGCTGGCCAAAAGCATGAGTTGAGACTGGACAGGCCACACACACACATTTACACTCACACATACGCTCGGAAGCAAGCAAGCACACACAGTAAGAAAGAGCTTGTGCTAAAAAGGGAAAGAGATAGAGAAACAAAAAGATAATTTCAAGGCAACGCTGCGTAACGCAGGGGAAAGACAGAAACTTCAAATAAGGTGACAATTTGGACGACGGAGGCGGCGACGACAACGTCGACGACGACGACAACGACAATAATAATTGCTCTGGTCTGAACTGACGGTTAACGGAAGGAGCGCAACCACGTGTGTATGTGGATATATGCATAGATGTATGTGTGTGGATGCATATGTACGTATTTGTTGTTTGTGTGCTAACTGGATATTGCTGGGCTGCAATGCAATAGCAATAACTGTGACACCCGACTCAACATAACAGCGATAAATAACGGGAGCGCATTTCATACTCATCTTCGCTAAAGCAGCGCAATACCAACAACAGCAACAACAGCTGCGGACGCACCAACATCAACAGTTACGCCAACAACAACGTCAACAACATGAGCACAGTGTTTATTAACTCACGGAAGAGCCCAAATGTGCTAAAGAAACAAGGCACAGACCAATGGGTCAAACTAAATGTGGGAGGCACCTATTTTCTAACCACCAAAACAACGCTCTCCCGTGACCCCAATTCCTTTCTGTCGCGTCTTATACAAGAGGACTGCGATTTAATATCAGATCGGGTGAGTTCGCACACACACACACACAAATACACGGGCATACAGAAAATCATGAATGAAGTTAAAGCTCTGTACTGTATGCCCATTTGTATTGTACTGCTCTGTATTTATTTTTGTTTTATTATATTATTTTATGCCATATTTTATTGTTGCTCATATTTAATTATTATTTTCTATCATTTTTGTATTTTTCGCAAAGAATTTGAGAAAGTGGTCAAGGCTGTGTTATCGAACTTTCGTTATATTTACACACACACACATTAACGTCGATATATGCGTGGGTGTGTGCATTGCATTTATAGCGGCCATTGCGCTCATAGCTGCCAGCTATATTATAATTGTCCAAAAATTGTAAGCCAAACACACGTTTGTATGTGTATTCACATATGTACATATATACAAACATACACTCACACCGACACCCACGCACACCAACAGGAGGCTCAACATGCAGTTTATTCTGCAAACAATTACAGTTCCACAAGAACAACAACAGTAGCAACAGTAGCAGTGGCGGCAGCTAAAGCAGCAGCCAGGGCCATGCCGAACCGCAGTCGGCGTCGTCCGTTTTTAGTGGGCTGCATAGTTGAGCTGGGATCGTGTCGTGACACGAATAGTTCAATAGTTGCAAAAATGCGTAATCAAAAAAAAATTTGCATTAGAGGATTAGTGCTGAATCAGTAAAGATAAGATACGAATTTTCTATTTGCTTTGCAAATAAGCAAAACAAATTTATTATTTTCTTTGCCGATTTGAATTGCAAATATAATAATTATACGAAAATGGTCGTTATTAACGTTACGTTAAACGTTAACATAAGCATATTGATTTAAGTATGCACGTGTCCTGTGTTTAAATAGATACGATATTTCATACATGTAACTATACGATTGAAACAAATAGTAAATTCGTTTAATAAATTTACTATGTCCTACCCGAACCCGATGTGCTATCTCTAGTTCTAGATTTCACATTCGTGTTTGCATTCGTGTTTTACAAGGCTGCACTTGCATTGGCTGAGCTTTCTGTCACACACACTCATGCAAAAACGCCTTAGCTACATATGCATGCCTGTGTGTGTGCATGTTGCTGTTGTATTCGAAACCAGTTTTTTGTTGTCTTTTCTGCTTTATTTCTATTTGTTGCTGTTGTTGTCCGAGTCCTTGGCTTGGTGGGGGGCGTGGCGAGTGCGTATTTAGCGATTTGCTCTACAAATATCGCCCACATAAATTTAGACACGTGTTTAGCTACATATCATAAATATTGATATGTATGAATGTGAATAGGTGCATACATATATACATACATACATATATAAATAACTCTAACATAGTATGTATGTATGTATGTATGTATCTATGAATGATATTTACGATTTTCCCAAATTTATAAACAAAAGTGATTTGAACGGTTTACTTATTATTAATGCCCAAATGTTTTCACTGTCGCTGCTGCGTCACTGCTTGCGTCGCTGCTTTTGTGCCTAACATTTACAGTGCTGTTCGTGCCTCTGCTCATGGCTCTGTTTAAATCTCAAAATCTGTCTCTACCTTTGAATTTATTTTTATGTCATCTTCTGCTCCTGTTTTTACCTTTGCCTTTGCATTTGTCTTTGCTTTTGGCTCTGCCTTTGGCTTTCTTCCTACTTCTAAATCTGCCTCAACGTTTGCCCATGTTTGTATCCTTGCTGTGCTGCTGCTTCTGCGTCTGTCTTTATTTCTGCCTCTGACTCTGTCTCTGCCTTTGTCGCAGTCTCTGTCGCTGCTTTTGCTTATAGTTTTCAATAAAAAAGTTTGCTCGTTTGTTTATTTTTGTTTGATTGTTTTTATTCGCTCGCTTTTGTTATTGATTAAATTCTTGCCCCTATCCGCCGCCTTCGCTTCCGCCCCCACCCCAAAACTCATGCCAAGGCAGCCCGAAGCTCAGTGTCCGCCAATTAAGGCACCCACACGCTACACACATGTACTTACATAAATATATATATGTATATGTATATGTATGTCTATATCGGCTGAATCGGGCAAATCGGGCAGTCGGGCTGGCACCTAGATGAACTGTGTGATGACTGTGTTTTGGGCTCTCTGACTTGTTTGATTGTGGCTGCTTAAATTGATGTAGAAACAGGTAAACAAGTCTAGCTGAGCGGCTGGCAGATACCCTGTAGTCAATGGAGCCCTTTGTCACATGTTTTTACTCAATTCGATGTATGTAGCACATCTAGAATTGAAACATCAGTATGAGACGAATATGATTTATATCGATACTTATCAATATAAAGATACTTATCATAGCGTAGAGTATACCCCATATGCACACAGACATGTAATGGGTATACGAAATCAAAAGCCACATAGCTCACATACAGGCAGACTGGCTGTCTCATTGTCTGTCTGTCTGTCTGGCAGCTCTTGTGTAAATCATTTACCATAATAAATGACTACAATGCATAGCGAAAGGCCATTACTGTATGTGAACGTATTGCTATATGAGTTGTCTGAATATTTCATGGCAGATCAAGTACAAAACAACTAATATGGTCAAAGTCTGCCTGACTAGCAGATTCCCTTCTATGTTAGTCTATTACGGCCAATATACCCTCTTGGATTTGTGCTACAGAGTATACAGAGTCGTTATACCTGCTGCATTGCTTCTGTCTGATTTGCAATTGGGATTTCCAATTTCTAGGCTTATATATATATATGTATGTGTAGGGATTAATTTAGAATATATCTCACTAATTGGTTTCGAATTTTTCTTTGTAGGATGAAACCGGCGCGTATTTGATAGACAGAGATCCAAAGTATTTTGCGCCTGTGCTCAATTATTTACGCCATGGCAAACTCGTTCTGGACGGCGTCTCGGAGGAGGGTGTGCTGGAAGAGGCTGAGTTCTACAACGTGACGCAGCTGATTGCACTGCTAAAGGAGTGCATCAGCCATAGAGATCAGGTGAGTGCCTGTCTGTCTATCCATCTCCCACTTGAATTCAAATTCACGTTAATAATTTTGCGTTTCTTCAATCGCAGCGACCACATGCGGATAAGAAACGCGTCTATCGTGTGCTGCAATGCCGCGAACAGGAATTAACACAGGTAATATCCTTGTCTCTCGTCCGTTGGACGGGTGTATTAAGTCTCTCTCTGTTTCTTTGGTTCTATTCTAGATGATCTCCACGCTTTCGGATGGCTGGCGGTTTGAGCAGCTGATAAGCGTTGGCATACAATGCTCGAACTATGGGCCATTCGAAAATAATGAGTTCCTTTGCGTCGTCTCCAAAGAGTGCGGGTCGTCAGCAGGACGGGAATTGGAGTTGAATGATCGCGCCAAGGTTCTGCAGCAGAAGGGTTCGCGAATGTAAGCAAATGCAAAAACAATAAGCCAGGGGTACCGAGACATAGGGAGATAAACTATAGTTGCATATTTATAATACTATATCTTAATAGATCAATCAGGCCATTAGCTATGACATTGCTTAATTAACCGTTTAACAGCTGATTAGCTGATATTGTTTACTATCTATTCGCAATGGATTACCCGTAGATATTTGAACGGCGAAAAGATTGATATGAATCCAAAGCAACTAAGCAACTGAGCAACTGATTAGCTAAATAGCTGATTAGGTGATTAGTTTGGCATACATCAACAGCAGCCCCACCGATTCTGTCTTGTAATTCTCACACCAAAACTAACCCTGCTTGCTGTGGGTTGATGTATGCAAATGTCGTGTATGTGTGTGTGTATGTCAGTAAATTCATCTTTGCCTTCCTTATACATTACTTTGTATTGAAGTATTCAAATTCACAATGTGTTCGATTGAACTGGTAAGGAAGAACATGCGCTGAACTATTTAAGTAATCTGGGAACCAAGAGCTCAGTCGTCCAAGAACAAGAATGATAATCTATACATCAGCTGTGATATTCATTCAGCTTTTGATTGATGAACGATTGAGTGACTTTATATAGACACTTCTTAAAGCTGACGACATGAAACTGATTGGAACGAATCGAACAACTAAGCAACTTCTGTGCAATTGAAGTTTCTCAGAACACTGAATAGAATGTGTTCATCAAAAGTAAAGTAATCAAGTGGTACTAGCTACAGAGAACTGATTCAGCAGATTGAACTGGCTGATCAATTAGAATCAACTTATCATATGCCATTCAGTAAATTGCAATTCAATACAGAAACAGACACACACACTAATTCACACACATACATATAGATGTTATTCAGAACTTGAATATGTATATATATATATGATATTTACAAAGACCAACCGCTAAGGCAATGCATTTATGTGCGTATAATTCGTATATATATCTATTCTAATATGACCATGCAATTATATAGAGCAAAGATATTTAACTTATACAAGTATATACATATATATAAGGATTATTTTATTACATCCAATTTATTCTATGGCTACCAAATAATTGATGTCAACCTCTTTTTCTCTCTCTCTCTCTCTCTCTTTCTTTCTTTCTCTCTCTCTCTTTCTCTCTCACTCTCTCCCACACGCTTTTTGTTTTCTTTCTCTCTCTGTTTAATTGCAGTCTTGGAATTTAAACTGCTTATAGAGCATAGTATAGAGTGCGCATACCATCCAGAATATAACAAAATGTAACTCCCATCAGCAAACACTCAAATCCTAATTAATCTAACAAAGACAAGCCACAAACATCATGAACAACAACAACAACAATAACAGCAGTAGAAGCAGCATTAACAACAAAAATGTACTACGAATAAAACAAATGCAACACAATTTATGAAAGAGCCAACAACAAAATAATTTAGCGAGATCCTTTTTGGCGGCAATCGGAGAAGTGAAGTCAAAAGTCATGCAGTCAATCAGTCGATCATCAACTTCAATACTTCATTCAATTCTAAATCCTATTTGAGAGCAGTTGGATATTCACATCTGAATACAGTTCAATTGTTGCTCAATCATTCAATCCTATCATCAATCGAGCAGTCAAATTAGGTGCACGATCTAAAGAGCAGCCACAATTAAGCGAAAATTCTCTTTGTCGCCATCAATTGAAGAGATTAGAAGCTAATAATCATTCAATCAAACAGCCATCAATTGAGTAACTTATCAGTTCAATCATTACTCAGCAAAGCCTTCAGTTTTTCAATCAGCCATCCACATCAATCACTCAAACTGTCAGCAAACAAACACAGATTCTCTTTGACAGCAATTGGAATCACAAAATGAGTTTTAAAAAATCTGTCTCAACGTTACATCATCAATCACGCGTTACTTGTATGTAAGTCCTACACCCTATGTAAGTCATTTCCCTTTTTACAAAATGCTTCAAAATTCTTTCAAATAGCAAAATTTTTAAATTTTTTATGACTGGCTTGTTATTATTTTATTTAATTTATTTATTTGCAATTTGTTTTGTGAATTTTGATTGTGAATGAAGTAATCGAAAGAATTTTTAGAAGCAAATTGTTGGAACACCCCGGCCACAGCTCAAGCTCGTGCTGATGCACACACATCAAGCCCTCCGTAATGGAAATTCAAATACTAACACACACCGACACTAACACACTGATAGATGACTTTAATTTTGGCTTCCCTTTTGCCTTCCGCATTTGAAGAGTGCCTAAAATACGCTTAAAACCTGGAATCGAAAACTAAAACAAAGTTGATGAAGCTAAGCACAAATAACAGAAAAAACACCGCCAACATTTGCTTAAATTTAATGCATAAGTGAATAACAATATCTAGATAATATATATACATATATATTTGTGGATCGGATGCAGGATCCAAAGAAACTAGAAACTAGTGAGCCACATAGCTGATGGATGGAAACACTTGAACATGAACACCAAATTCTCAAAATGCAATGTTATGTATATATATATATATGCAATAGAGGACTATACACACCATATATATACATGTATGTATATATATACCAGTGCATCATCATCATCATTAGGAAATTTTGTATTTTCAAACTCAAAATTAATTTCAAATCAAAATTATGTAAGAACATTGTAGTCGACTGCCCGTTCATGCTACAGAAAATCTGTATAATATATTGTGGTATTAGTAACAGCAGCCCATTGATACACTCCAGATATGTGGAAGTACGGCAGAAGTTGCAACTGAAGAGCTTAAAGCTCTCCATAGAAAGGTTTTCCGCTGGCTTGTCACGTGCAAACCTTACGCATCAAGCTACAGACACGAGTCCATCTATATATAGAGAGAGATGAATAATTTTCAAACTTTAGGCCTGAAGGCAGCAAGAATCTGTTTGAGACTTTTGAGCACTTAGTATAAGTTCACATAGATCCTGCCTTTTTAAACTGCAATCGGCATTCAGCAAGATTTTTCTATAATTCGAGTCCGATGTTTTTCGATTACACTGTTCTGTTCTGTTCAGTATATATATAATTCCTGTAAACCTTATCTATAATCTGAGAGGTCCCTGAGATGGGTGAATTTGTTAAAGAAGCCTAGCACAAGTTTTCGATAGAGAAAATAGTTGATATATACATAAATTTATATGCCTTGAAGGCACGTCAAATTGATATTCTTTTGGTTTTTTGTAATTTGAACGAGTATTGAGCAGTTGTTTACTCCCGGCTGCAATGTTCTATATTGCTTTCAAGTTATACATTTGACTATATATAGTTGATCGTTCAATATGTTTAACTTTCTTTAAAACTCAGTTCGAGCTGCATTTACATATATATATATATATATATATATATATATATATATATATATATGTATATATATATAGTATATGTATATATATATAGTATATGTATATACTAGATCGAAATGAAGTCCCCATTAAAAACCTAGAGCTTTATTTAACTAGCAAAAAACATGAAAAATAGGAAAAGGAAAAACCATTTTAATCACGACTGAATTTATGTGAATTTGCACTAAAAAAAAGAAAAAAAAAGAAGTGAAAAACAAACTAAAATTAATAATAACATAATATATATTTGAATCATTAATGATGTATATATGTGTATATATATACATATATATATAAATAATTTTTAATAAAAAGAAATGGGTAAAAATGAATTTCGAAATGTCGAAAATCCAATTTTTTGTAAACATTTTGAATTATTATAAATATATATGTATATGATAGCTATAACCAGACTCGATAAAAGCTTGGTGACATATATACATGTATATATGTAAATGTATATACATATATGTATATATATACATATATATATGTATGTATATATGTTTGGAAAATCAAAAAAATATATAGAGTTTGAAATGAAGTTAATTCAACAAACAATGCAATATGAGCGACATGTTCTTAGCTATATATGAATGTATTACACAAGCACACACACATACACAAATGACACATACACACACACACACACACAGACAAAATGCATATGCTGGACTGTTCTCTCATTTTCATATGCATAGATTGACTACTCAGACAGACACACACATACCTACACACATATATGTACATATTTGTGTATGGCCACGCATTGGCAAGCTTCACTGTACTTGCAACAACAACTATAACAATAACAACTTATATAATCATCAAGAGACGTCTATATGTAGCCATTGGCAGCAAAAAATAAAAATAAAAACAAATATTTCAATAAATTAAATTTTTCTACAAAAATGAAAAGAGAATCGTGTTTGATTTTTTTAAAATTATTTTCAGTCACTATCATTTAAGTATTGCACTAAAAAGTATTTTTAGAATAATATGTAAGTCATTGAATAATAATAAATAGTGTAACATATTTAAGTTCGCTGAGAGTATGAACTTAAACCTAAAGTTCTTTTAACCATTGAGCCGGAAGCTTGTCGCAGAACTTTGTTCTGAGTTGCGGTAAATCCTAGTCGAGTTATATCATAGGGGACATTGTCCTTGCTAAAGTTTGTGCTGAGCTTAATAAAAGCTTAAGATGTGACCTTGGCGTAGCTTTTAGCTTTGCGCTTTAAGCTCTACGAAACTTGTTTTCTAGCTTCAAACCAGTAGAGCTTCTAGTCAATAATACAGCCAAGTGACCGCTGCAAGTTTAAGCGATGATGCAACTTCATATAGCCTTGGTGTGTGTAGCTGTATTGAGTCGATAACAAAGCGTCCTTCCCATACTTATATACCGATATTTCACTTTTGTATAGCATTAAGATCTGCTGCACAGGTCTTAAAGTTTTTTTTTTTATAGGTTTTAAGACCAGAAGGATTGAATTCACTGAAAATATATTATTGGTCCTGGTCGTCTGGCTAGATGTGTCCAATCCTAATATATCTGTCCGGCTGTATGAACCCTGAACCCATTTTCAATGGGAAATCAGAGTATAATGGTATATATTCTTGATCAGGTCCACGAGCTGAGTTGATTTAGCCCTGTTCGTCTGTCTACGCGCATATCGGGTTTTGCTTAAAATATCGATAACTTGCCCCGTTATTTTGTTATCGATTAAAAACATTATCGGAAACCAGTAATAGCTTTTTATCTCCTACATCTCTAAAGCTAGAGTCAGTTTTCGCCAAAATCCTCCCCCCACCCCTATATTCACCCCCTCACCCACATATTTGTAAAAGGCGTATTTCAAATACTAGAGACTAGTGCTTCTATTCAATTACATGCATATCTATGTTATATTCATAATCTGAAAGTTTCATGAAGATAGTTCATCCACAAGAAAAGTTATTAAACAATTAAGTTTCCATAGTAAGCCACCACTGCAGCCAATGCGTGTTTATGCGTGCGTGCGTATGGCTGTGTGTGTATGTGCGAATAATTATTGAAATATCAGTTGCTCGCTCGAAGGGTTCAGGGGATCTCGTAGTCGAGCAGTCTCGACTACAGCTTTCTTATTTGTTAGAATTTCCAGAACTAATGTTTTGAAGCTTGTAATATATAATTTGGTATACTTTATTTAATATGAACGTATAGTTATATAGTCGGAACATAATTGGTTATCAACTTCTCTTGCAGATGGGCTACCTCCATAAAACTTTCATAAGCCTATGCATATGGCATTTACTAGTCTACTTGTATAACCTATTATATTGCTGCCAATATTATTCAATATTTTTGTTGCTGATAATACAGGTCTATATACATATATCTATATACATGTATATCATTTTATCAAGCATTAAAAAATAAAACTCCGAATGAGCTACTAGAAATTGATTTTCAGAAGTGCCCAAGTTCCATCCTGAATATCTCACGCAATTTAGTAACCTGATTTTGTGTGCTCACAAAGTTTATCTTATTTTAAGAAACAAAAAATTCTACAGGAAGATATATAGCATTATCTTTCGGGAAAAATCAAATGTATATATAATTAAATAATGTATTTATAGTTAAATAAATTCAATGAGAGCTAACGAATTCCATTAGAATCGTATTAAATGTTAAGTTAAGGCAGCCAAAGTTCAATTTGTTTCTGTATTTTCTTGTTTACCAGCAACAGAGCGAGGGTGGGGAGAAGAGGAGAGGTAGGCGTGGCATATTGATTAGAATTTGAGCCATGGCAAACTTATGCAAAGTAAAAAGAGATGTTCAGAGTTGCGTGAGCTTCAAAGCTCATAAGATATTCATTGGCAAATGCACACACAGTAGGGTGCGTGTGTGCGGGTGTGTGTGTGTGTGTGTGTGTGACTCCAGATAGAATTGAGCCGACTTTAAGATTTGCAGCTATGCTAATAGTTCCATTAGTTGAGCTAATTCAACTTGATGAACTAGATGAATTCAATAAACTAGTTCAATTTCATAATTTCAAAGGAGCTCAGTTTGCATTACACTAAATTGAGAGAGAAAGAGAGATGGGGTGCGAGGGAGAAAGAGAGAGAGAAAGACAATGAGAGCGAGAGAGAGTCGTGCGTTGATCGCATTGAACTAGCTCAGTTGACTTGTTCAATTGAACTGATTTGGAACGAAGCTAGCTTTCTAACTCTTCAGCATTCGCTCACGCTCTATCGCGCGCCTCACACGATGTCAACTGAGGCATAGGCATAGGCATAGGCATAGGCATAGGCAGAGGCAGAGGCAGAGGCAGAGGCAGAGGCAGAGGCAGCGACGTGTTTAGCACGTAGCACGCTGTTTGAAATGTTATTTCATACGCGATATTTGGCTGGCAGCAAATTCATGCACGCATATATCGATATGGCCACATTAAAATTTAACTGCGCCAACAACCCCAGCATCATGCTGCATGCTACATGCTACATGCTACATGCTACTTGCGACATGCCCCACGCTACTGGCCACATGCCACCAGCCCAATTGCTCTGCTGCGCAACCACTAAAAACCGAGAGACCGAGCCGAGGCCATCGCCCAAAACACGTGCCCATTTATATTTATTCTAAACAAAG